CAACAATTGTTGGTCAAACCTAAAATAAAATGACAGTCTTAGGAGAACTATTGGAATGGTTTTAAGGCAGAGTGATAAAGAATTGGAATTAATATGAAATGTATTGCGATTTTTATTTAATTGCTACTTATGCTTTGTTTTAGTTTGAAGAGCAATAGTTTTTATTCCACGTATTGAATATTTTATTGTATTCGTATTTTATTAATTCTCCTTTTACTCCATATAGTTAATGTTCGCTATCCTTACTAATGACATCTTTTAAAATAATTACTCTTTCAGAATAAGTAATGTCTCAGATCACGAATTCCAAAACCGTTGGAATGACTAATGTCTCAGATCACGCGTTTCTATCGTTTTCTCTTTGATATGTATTAAATGACGCCTTTCAACGGGATTATGCAACGTTTAGGAGAAAAATAACATATTAGCAATGCGAAGAAACAGTTTTAAGGGGTAAATACCACTGTAAAGGCATTTTCTTTCTTTCCTTCTCCTTTATATGCATAAAATAGTTTTAAAAGCATTTAAGCATAAAAATAATGTCTTAAACCATTTTAAGCATGTTTATATAACTGTTTAAAACATATATTGGGTAATAAATAAACGAAGTGTACTTATAGCAGCTTATTGAATTTTGGATAAAATACTAATTTAGACATTTTGATGCGTTTTCTCTTCATATAATATCTAATATAATGATTCCTGAAGTTTTCCAAATTTAAATCACTGAAGTTTTTCGGGTTTATCTTTCTAATTATTCTATGCATATATCTATAATTGTTACTTAACGTGGATTACGAACCCTAATAATAATGACCAACGAAAATCCAAGCTTAGCCCTTATGGAATTCACATCAAAACCATTTTCTATTTAATTAATTCCATTACTATATTATAATACATATACCTAAAACACTGTACGGTATATAAGATTTTAATTATATTATGCTACTTTGATTTGAATTATCAACGCATAACCATTTATCTCTATGGTTATATTTTAATTCATGCTGTTATTTATTTAAGCAAGCTTAACTCTGCCTTTTAAACATGACATACTAAATGATACTATATACTATATAAATGTAGACACGTTTTTTTTAAACCTGTGTCATGAAATTTGTTTTCCTTTAAACGAAGATTTCAAACTTTGCTTCAATGTTTAGAAATTTTACAATATCTTTTTATTTTCCTTTTATCCTATTATTATGACGTATTCGAGAATATTTAGAATTCGTTCCGTCTGTATACAACATATTAACAATTCGTGTTTCGTCTGAATTGCTTTTTCTTCCTAAATCCGCATTATCGGCAACGCGTGAGTCTTTTCTCCACTTTAAAACGACATACAGGAATTACGAATGAATAACGATAGATTACTTGGTATTTCTTGGCAAACTCATAATCATGGATGAAGATGGAAATGCCAGAATATGCTAAAGTTGTTACAATGGTAACTTTAAATGCTCTGTTATAAGGATACATCTTTTCATGATTTACACAGAAATTTGACTCTCTGCATCGGTATTTTATTTATTGTTAATGGAGAATGAGTTGGGACAGACATCATAACTGACATCGCACAACCCCATGGCTGAGGACATCTGCTCTGACACATACATCTTCAAAATAGATACTAGCAGGGAAACGCTGCTCTTGACGCTGCATTGATTTAATATGTCTCCGTCATACTGCAGTGAGAGCCGAAAAGTTATTTCCAGGCCATGAATCAGAAATTCACCTGGTGCGTGGTGTTAATGCAGTTATAATTCAAGCGCTATTAAAGGGAAATGTATCATTATTCGGGTGATGAATTGTTTTATATTTGTATGGATTTATGTCAGGTTTGTTTATCAAATAAAGATACAACAGTCAATGAAACATAAATATAAATTTCAAATAAAGAAACGAAGAGACAGATCTACCCCCCCCCAAAATAAAAAGAATTAAAACAGCGTTTAATAAGATGTTTCTAAGGATCGTTTTGACTGCTGGAAAGATGAACTGATGTAATGTATGAAAGACTTTTCTATTTATGTTATGTCTGAGTTCTGAACTGGCAAAAGATAATGAAAGCTTGAAAGAAGCATTTTCTTTCCCCCAGAAAAACAATACCTTTTCCATTGTTTCGATGCCATAAAGTCAAAAGCAACGAAACCAACTGACTATTTTCTTCTTTATTATATCAGACATTGCGAAAAGTTATTTTCTCTTTTCCTTTCGTAGATCGAAGTAGAAATCAATCACATCATTTGGGGAGAAAAACAGATTGCAATAATGCAGTGTTATTGACCGCCGTAGAAGAAAGGCCTGAACAAGCATTTCTTTTCAAGCTACTGTATTTAGATTTGAAATTATTGAAGAAATTCCTAATTTTATAGAGCCAAAGAGGACGCTAAAGAGGATGACGTAAGATTTCTCGAAATACTTGGCTCAAAGAGTTTTAGCTATCAGAATTATGAACAATTATTATATTAGCAAGTGGAAGGACCGATGGCATGTTTCAAAGAGATGTAAAGGATTACTGCAAAAGATCGAACTTTCTACGAGAATGAAGATATTCAATAATATTGACCTAAACCAGTTTATGACTGGGCGCGGTCGCTTGCCTGCGTACTTCAGCAGGTTTTGAATTCAGGATAATCCGAATTGCATCAGTTACTGCGTTTTAGGTAATGCAGATCACTTCCTCCGTTCGTGTCGTCTCCTAGATTGCATTAGAAGTTTTGATTTTGGGAATAAGTCTGAAATTAAGATTGAGAAACGTAAAAAAATTCGCTAAAATTGATATGGAGATGATTAATAGTAACCGTCATAAGTCTGAAGTATATGTAGAATTTTGTATTAAATGTAATTCTGTATTTTAGATATTTGGTGTTTTACCTGGGTTTTATTGCAATGTAATTGAATTTTATTAGTTTTAATCTATTTTAGATATTGACAATACTTTTATTGCTTGAATGTTTTTATTCAGATTTATGTATTTTAATTGAGTTTTATCTAAAATTATTAGAATTGATTTTATTGTAATTTATTTTGCTTATTTTATGAGTTTTAATAACATTGAATCGCAGTATATAGTTTGCGATTTTTATCACTGGTAAATTTTGTTATTTGTGCATTTTGGTTTTTAATGTGTTTGTGCTTAGATTTTGTGTATTATGTTCACTTAGCGTGTTATTTGTAATTTAGATATTTGTTTTAGGCTTTTGTTTTAGTTTTTAACAACGCATTATCCTTAGTTTTCTTTAGCCTCTTTCTTTCCTTTTGTGTTGTTTATTCATCGTGGAGAAAAGAGAGGCCTTGTAACCCAGATGAATGTATTTTAATAATTTAGTTCTTTTTGCTAATTCCTTTGTTACTCGGGCCCGAACTGTCGCTTCTCTGTGCTTAGTTTGATAAGAATTTTTTTTGGGGTTATTTTAATACCGATATTCGCGGTGGATTGCCTTGGGGGCGTACGAGTTGCTGGCTGGCCTTGTTGATGGAGTTGGTAGTCCGCCCACTTTGATCACGTGGTCCTTTTAAGACGAAGTGGATCGAGTCGGCTCTTCATTCTTAACTCATAGCTTATATTCTAATTTCCATAGTAAGGAATTAAATAATAATTTTCTCCTTGTCTTAAATACTTTGCACGCATCTCTTTATGTTTCCTATTGAAACTCAGATTCTAATTTTCCATGTAAGAATTCAGATTTCGTAACTATTTAGACCGAAATTGTAACAGCTGTACATTTCAATTCTTCATTTTTTGACGAAAATATGCGTAACATTGTCTATAAAGTCATAGTTTATGTATTTTTACTGTACTCTATATTTAGCATTTGAGTTTCAAGACATGAAACATGTTTATTAAATAAATTCTCTTTTCTACGATCTGAATGAATAAGTTTTATTAAATTATTTCTACTACATCATCTTTATGGATATGTTTATAGCATGTGATTAATTCTTATCCTCACATCTACATTTTAATTTTAGTATTTGTATATTTTATTGCATATTAGCTAGAGATGACAAAACGCACCAAAGTTATTTGCCTAATCATAAGGAAGGATGACATCGTGGAAGACATTTGAAGGAAACTGGTTCATATTTGCATAGCATTTGATGAAAATCATTGTTATCGATAATGTGAGTAGAATATGAAATTGAAGCAAAGCATAAAAATAAGTACGATATCAGAAAATTCAAAATATTCAGTTAATAATTTAAAATATGGAGTTTTAATTTAATTAATTTAAATATTAAACTCTGTATTGCAAACTTAAATGTAAGTATTCCAAAAATATTTTCCCACAGCGTTTTTCGTTACTTATATATGAAAGGATAAAACATAAAATATGAATATGTCGAAGACTTTTACTATGCTTAGTGCCAAGGCTCCAGCAAATTTGCTATACTGTGTTTGAAAAAAATGGTAATCGAGAATAATTATGAAACAAATAATTAAAAGGTTAAAATGTTCTTCTACACTCAGTTTCAACAGACACACGCTAAATAATTCTGTCTTTAAAGTAAACAAATGACATGCCTACAAAAAATTAGTTTGTTATTCAAAATTTCAAATATTACGTGAATTTACATATTTATTCGTTTTAAAATTTGGCATGTTTGGTTATAAGCGATAATAACGCCAGCCAGTCCCTGCTCCCTTGATCTCCAGAGCATTTATAGCACCGGGGGGGGGATATCTCTCTCCACGCCGAACTCTGTGCCTTTCAGTTTTAACACATAAATACATAAGAAAATTTAATTTGTAAATTTCGCTGTTACGGGAGTTTTAGGCAATGTTATTAGATAGAGAGGCATTTTCTCACTCTCCTTGCCACGTCTATGCTTTAGTTGCTCCACCTCGAGCACAGTGAATGATTTTTCTACTAATTTGTCTTGAATAAGAGAGGGGAAAATCAGTGGATATGTTCCTGAATAACTACCTTGAAATGTTTTTCGTCCAGCAGGAGATACTAGTGATATGAAAGATTTAGCTTCTTAAAAAGGGCCGTCATTCGCCTATGAGTGTCTGAGTTTTGGTTAAGAATTTAGTAGTGGCCTTCAGCCTTTTTCTTTGCCTTAACTTCGGTAAGTCCTTCTTTCTCAAGAGTTTCCGTTAATTTAAGTGGGCAGTCAATAACGTTAATCAGTAGCATTATAACCATTTAATAACCACCCGATTCGGGAAAATAAATTGACCGTTAGACAGAGTTGCACCAGCCTCAACGTCATAAGTATCATTGACTGGCCCAACCAAGCACAGTGACCTCATCTCCAGTTCCAATATAGCGAGCCGTGCTTTCCGCCAGGGACGTACTAACCACGGCAGACTGCTCAGAGAACACACCAGATGGCGCCACTGGCAAGTGGCTAGGGCTGCCACGGCCAGTGAGTTGGGATGTGTCAGTTTTGAAGTCCAGGTATCCAGGGGAATTTAGAGATTTAATAGATTTCAGTTTTGTCCTTTCCACGGCAACTTTACCTTGGGATTTGGTGGATTGAGTGATCAGATCAGAGGCTAGGACTTCAACTTCATCAGTAGGAAATTCAGCCAGCACATGGTACTGATTTCTCACCTTATTATTATCAACTTATACAAGGATGATTGACCTTTTGACATTCTGATTGGAGGTAATCCAGTCCATGTTCGTTTCAGCATCACAAGAATGTGTGTCTGCGGGGGAGGGGCTTCCGCTGGATTGACTTTACTATGAGCTGGTGGCGAGATGGCTAGGTTTGTTAGGTTTACCTTCTCGCTGGTCCCGTCGTCTAGTTCTTGTCTCGTTTCTGGAATAATTTCCATAAATCTTCTCAGAAACATTATGGCGTCTACCTCATGGAAGCTATCGATTATCTGGTTCACAATCGACATGATGATTCCGTGATACAGCTCCGTATTCAAGTCAGCAGAAATCAGTAAAACAGAAATGGATAAGAAAGAGCGCACGAAGGCCTTTTTACTACACTTGGTCACTTAAGATGGATGTGAAACCTTCTACACGCTTACGAAAACTGATCGCAAAAGAGTGGGTGCAAAATCTTAAGTCTGCGAAATTCGAGAATCGTGCTGATGTAACCTTCACATTTCGTAATAAAAATGTTGCTGTAAAGGCACTTCACGTAAAAATACATCAAGTGAGGTTCCCAGAAGAGAAAATTTAACAAATGTAGAAGAGAGGAGAGTATGTTCTTTTAGGTTTTAGGGATTAAACTAGAGTCCTAATGGATTGGAATATGATAGTAAAGTCAGATAAAAATGACTACATCAAATACAATTAATAAATTCGAATCAAGACAGAAACATAACTATATACAATATACACAAATACAGGAGTGCATGTGTTGAGTTTACGTTGGAAAATTTAAATCTCTTAGAAGATGTGCAGTATAAAGCATAAGGACATAATTCTTTTTCCTCTTGTAGAATTTCGTATTAAAACAAGTTAAAATTCGTGAGATTGTTACAAGTAGTAGCTTTTTTGTAGAAATTTCTTATTATTTTGTTCAGAAACTTATCAATAATTTCAGTATCGAGGTCCTCGTTCAGTCTTTGATTGCGCAAGTAGACGTGTGCGTTAGTAATGAAGTGTAAATATTTACTTTGTACTTGCTAGAAATTTGAGCAGGTCATTTTTGGTAAGAGTAGTCCAAGCCGGTGAAGCATAGTCCAAACCGGTGGACGCAAAACTGAGCTATAAATGAAACGTTTCTTTTTTAAGTCTAATTTCTAATAATAGCCAATAAATGAAAAAAAAAGGCAGTTGATTACTTTTGTTGCTTTGTTCTTAAGATTTTCGATGTGATCTTTCCAATTATTTTGCTGAATATTGGTATTACTTTGAATTACTATTTGGTATTACTTTGAATAGCAAAATAATTGGCTTTGCGAACTTTTGGAATACTTTCATCAAAAAAAGAGTCAGACTTTTATCAGGTAAAATAGTATTTATGTGCTTTTTACATCTGAGATTTATGGGCATTGATGGATATTCTCTAATTTGTGCATCTGTCTTCAATTATTGGCATTAACTATTGGAGCTTTCAGATCGCATGTCTTGCTTTTGCATCTTTTGGAGTACTATTTACACACACTGCGTACTGCGACTACAGCACCATCTGTTGGCATCTTTTATAACTATTATTCCGAAATTTCTTTATAACATTCTTTCAGCTTTGATAATAAATATACCGCTTGTTGTATTCCTCTATCGATCTTTGTTTTCGAGATTTTAGAATTTTGAAATCAGGAACTCCTTTGCTGAGCACCCTGTATATATCCATACATTTGTATATATACATTTTTTATTAAGGAGGGTATAATATTTTTCCTAAAAATTTGAAGTTTTTGTATATATACACACATATGTTTGGTACTGCCGATTGCAATAAAAAAGGAAGGTGTAGAACTAGATTTTAAAGGAGTTCCATGTACAAAATTTCAACTTTTTACTACTAATCAATTTTGAGTTATGCACGACACATGAATGCGTACGTACAGACGTCACCAAAAAAAATCTCTTTTGAATTCACTTTAAATCCATTTTACAATCCGTTTGGTAAAAAACAGTCCTTCATTCTGTCCGCACGTACAGACGTCACGCAAATAAATCATCCAAATGGATTCGCGAATGGTCAAAATGCATATTTCTGTTGATATGTGATACCCTAAACTTTTCGCCATTACAATACTTTCTTTATTTCGTACAAGGAAGTAAAAGGAGAAATCGCCTTTATTTTGTTATGTTTTATATCGGTAGATGTCACAAATTTTAAGAATAATTAATATATTTTGGCAAAAATTAAAAATTTGCTGATTTTCATGGGGGCTTGAAATTAAAAAAAAAAAAAAAAAAAACACCTGCCAAATATTCAAATTATCAAAATATAGAAGAGATAGTGTTATAGTTTTAAAGGACTATGAAGCCTAGCTCAGTTGGCAGTTTGGAAGGTGTTGAAGAAAACATGACTTTCTTCCATAATATCTTTAGCTATAACTTTTTTTTTTTTTTTTTTTTTTTTTTTTCTGTACGGTGTTTGCTGGGAGAAAACTATGGAGTTTAAAAACTCAGTAAGCAGAGCTACTAAGTAACCTTAGTAAGGAATGCTTTTTTCTATATATTTCTCTAGTAAGATCAATTTCGCCTTCTCAGAAAATTAGATTTAAATTCTGGATTTTTTTATAAAAGCTTAATTTACTTATAAAATGGCATGTGTTGGTGAAAGAGATAGAGAAACCGTACTGACAGCAAATAATCAAATATAGATACTTTTATTTATACATTAAATCAATATGTCAGACAAAGCTCCATTATCTGTTGTACACTTGTTCTATCCGTTTTCTGCTACTTATACGAAACAGGATATTTCTAACTTCCAAATATCTTGTTATTTTGATCATTAGCTATAAAACTCATCGATTTTGTCATCAATAAAAGACCATCCATAAATGATTGTTAATAACTGTTTATCTATAAGCACAGAAGGTTACTTGATTTCGAAAAGAACTACCTGATGAATTACATGAAACATACGCTATCGTTATAGCTATAATGACAAATACAGGCCTTTTCTATGATGCTACAGTGGACTAGATTAATATATGACAGCTTTCAGAAAGCAATAGGATTAGTCCTTTTATCTGTGTAAAGACAACCTATATGTGACATAATTCATACCCTTGGGAAAATAACATAATACATCAGAAATAGGATTAGTGGAATTGTTTTCATATTCTTTCATAATCAAAGCTACTGATTCGGAGGGGCAAAAAAAAAAAAAAAAATGCTTTTATTTCTGGACATCGAAGAGACATCTGTTTATAGAGTAAGTGTAATTAGATTAGTTTTAGGGAAATAAGAGAATGGGTGTGAGTTACTTGTACTGCTTCTCCTTTTCTTCTACTGACCAAGACTATTTGCAGAATGGTTCCAAGGATTGCTATCAATCAGAACTCAACGAGTGTGATTTTATTTTTCCTGTTTTCCCTTCCATTTATTTACCTAACTTTAATTTGTTTTCTTTGTGTTCATTCCCCTTTTAGGAAATTAACATTTTTATATGTTTTCTGCACTTTTAAGGCTTCTAAAATAGCCTACCTTAAATATAAGGCTCCTATAACAGCCTTCCTTAAAAGTAGTAATAAACAATAAGAATTTTAAGAACATTCATAAATTTCAACATCTGACTTCTTTTTCCCAAAGTTTCAGTAACTTAACAGGACAAAAGTAATTAGTCAACTTGTGAAGAATTTTATTCCATTATAGAGTATTCCATTCCATTATCTAAAATATTCCTTTTTATTACACAGAATTTAATTTCAATTTCATAGGATTTTACATTAATTTAAATAAATATCTGAATAAATATAAATTTCATATGCAGAAAACAATTCAGAGGACAATATTGTAAATAATAAAACAAATTCTTCGCTTAATTTTCTGCGGGTAATATAATCGATTACCTTCTTAGATATTATTATATTAGTTAATTTTATTATGATTGTAAAATTTAGTTACCTTTCATGTGCTTCATAGATGACAAATAACATGAGGGCTACTTGCCGCAGAAAGAATGCTTTCATGGAGGGCGTTTCAACACTGTTTTTAAAGACTTTATTTTCATTTCCTGAGGGTGAAATCACGATAACGCTTATGCAGCCAGTCTGTTTCTCTGAGAATCTTCTCATAGACGAAATAACTATACTTTATTGGTTTCAACCTTCTATTGTTAATGAGTAAAAGTAATATAAGCATTTAGACTGATTGCTGAACTCAAAAGACAGCATTAATAACTTGGGAGTTTCTTTCACCTGGGGAAAGCAAGCCTCAAATGCAAGGCCTTATTAATAGAAAGCACATAGGTTTTCTGAATAAAGGGAATTGGTTTCAGTTAGTCATTTCTATAGGAAATTGTATGTTTTACATAAAACTGTGAACTCTTCATACCCTTCCCAAAGTAAAACTTATATAATGGCAGGTATAAAGACAAAATATGCATAAGGTGATAAAATA